GTCAGAGAATTATTTCGGAAACTGTACTGCCCATCTGATTTTTTTTCTATTACCCCAAGTGTTTTCAAAATGTAATTTATTTCTTCATTTTTTGGTGTTTTCAAACTGAGATTTCTGAACTCCACCAATCTTGTGCTAGAACAGTAAGCTTGTTGGTCTGGTGTAGCAAAAACAGTCAAGCGTTTTCAAGACCTCAGAGACTAAAATATCATTGTGGAACATGATATTCCGTGAACTGTGCCACAACACACTTTGCCTTTAAGATGCCACAGTATGTTTGGCTGAATGTTTTTGTTCTGGTGCAGATCAGTTTATGGGGAATAACGGTGATTTTAAAATGTGGTCACTGACTACCTTGATGCCAACACACTGTGCATGAATTTGCTGTAAAGAGTTTTCCTTAGCATGTTAATAGCTCGATGGTTTAGTTATCCGGCTGTGGAGCCAGAGATTGGATGTTTGATTCCCCACTGCCTCCTTGGCAGAGGTGTGACCAGATGATCCATAGGATCCCTTCCATCTCTGCGGTTCTAAGATTGTTTCATTTTTACTCCCCAACATGCATTAGCTCTTAGTAGTCATCAGAAGAACTACAAAAATAACTCAGGTCAATGTCATGTGTGGCATCAATCTCATTTATCGATGGTCTCCTTTCCTTCGGTGTTTCCACTGTAGTGATGCAACTCACTGGTCTACTTCTGTTTGGGTATTAATATTTAGTAATTTAGTGCTTGTGGTTACTTTGGGTCAACAGAACTTATGCAAACACTTCTAACTTCCTGGGCTCAAGTTGAAGAAATGAGTAATTTTTCTGAGGAGAAAGTGAAACCAACAGTAATCATAACTTCATTTCTCCTTCAGTTTGTTACTGAAAAATGTTAGCCGTAGAGGGTAGATTTACCATACCAGACTCAGCCAGGAGCCAACTTCACTTTTTGTGCACAGGATGGGATTGTCATACGTTATTTTTCAATTCCTGCCTGGAAAACTAAGCACTGGAAGTTTGTCGCTGCTGACCTTGGACGAATAGCTTCTAATGACTTCTATCCTACATTTTTAGCCCATCTAGCAGGCTTGACTGCAATACAGCAATCCAAAAATCTGTGGATAAATGCTGATTTATATCAAGAGGAAGAGTTTATGTGGAAAAATATAAGACCATGTGTTCTGTCTTAGAAAATGTTCTGCCCTACATCTCTTCCAGTATGTACTAATGAAGGCCAGACCGTCTCTTCACACTTATGTGTCGTATTTATTTATGGATCTCTCTATTTCCTCCCATCATGTGTACAAACACACTAAATTTATTAACTTACCACAAAGACTGATATAATACAATGACTGGATAAAATCCTCCAGTTGTTGAACTGGAGGGCAAGGGTTGGAGATGTTGTTTAGTCGTTAAGTCGCGTCCGACTCTTTGTGACCCCATGGACCAGAGCACTCCTATCTGCTCAGAACAAGCACTCTCGAATAATCTTAGAACTGCAGAGCTGGAAGGGACTCTGTGTGGGTCATTGAGTACAGCCTGTTAAAGAGACACATTGAGGGATCAAATATTTTTGTTTGAAACCTCTGGAGCAACTATTTAGAGCAGTGGTCCCCACCTTGGGACTCCATTTGTTCTTAGACTTCAACTCCCAGAAATCCTGGCCAGCAGAGGTGGTGGTGAAGGCTTCTGGGAGCTGTTGTCTAAGAACATCTGGAGGCCCAAGGTTGGGGACCACTGATTTAGAGGGTAATATTTCTTGCCTTCCCTCTTGATTGGCTTTGAGTTGGAAAGAAGGGCCTTCTCCCCCTCCATCTGCACTTCTTTCCCAGAGCAAGAGCACAAAAGCCCGTTTCAGGTCAAAGATGTGGACATCTTGCTGTACAGAAAGCAGCCAGACTCCAAAAGATTCCCCTGCTCCCAGACTGACACAACTCCAGATTTCCAATAAACTCTGAACTTAACAAGACCTGGCTCCCAGCACTGAAGAATACAACCTGCAGAAGGTCAGCGAACTCTACCCAGCCACAACACAACAAAAACACACTGATCACCCTATCTCCTGAAAAGGACAAAAGCTGTTCCCACAGCAATACAATGGACCCTCGACTTACAGACGGCTTGACTTACAGACTTTTCGAGTTAGACTTCTCTGGTTGCAAAATTTAGGTTCGACTTGCAGCCGGAGAATCAACCTACAGACCAGAAAAAAACCAAAACGGAACAAAAACGGCTAGTTACGGATTAATCAGTTTTCAATGCACTGTAGGTCAATGGAGACTCAACCTACAGATTTTTCGACCTGCAGCCACCGTTCCAATATGGATTAATTCTGTAAGTAGAGGGTCTACTGTAAATACCCAACTATCCAACAAACAACAACAGCACGGACAGAATTCCTACTCCAGTCCTTTGATGATGCCGGCCACAGAGACTGGCGAAACGTCAGGAAGAACAACCTTCAGAACACGGCAAAAGAGCCTGAAAAACTCACAACAACCATCAGATCCTGGCTGTGAAAGCCTTCAAGAATACACACACACACACACAAAATTGATTCCCTGCTCAAAAATAAAAATCAAAATGCCGCAACAGGTTTTCTCATGTTGAGCTTTATGTCAGTTATTACCAAGCTTTAGTTCAAATTCATCTGTGCCCAATCCAGCATATATTTTTAGGGCAAATGGCCATTGTAGTTACCCCAAAATTTGGTTCTGACTGGACTGCATTAATACAGACCAAATCCACAAGATTTCCATTTTGTAAGGAAGGTGATTTTAATTTAACCAACAGCTCCATCTGCTGTCCTTTTTACTGAATGTACTCACTTGGACCTGCCTGTTCTAGCTACAGTAGTTCTAAAAATGGTTGTAAATCAAACTCCTGGGATCGAACCTCAGAACTCTGATTCCAGCACTGGGAACTCTTGAGAGCTAAACTCACCACTTAATACATGCCTAACACAAATGCTGTCACACACACACCCCAGTTCCCCTGTTTGTTTTTCTACACACCAGGTTCCCTTTGGGGCACGACATGTACTTTTCACCCTTTTTCTCTGCCACCAGAGGATATGTTCCTCTCTGTACCAAATATGACTATTAGATCAGTGTTGTCCGATATAACAATGTTTATTTATAGGTTTGTAGATAAATCATATAAAGAAAATCATGGATGGTCTTTTATTATTCATTCATTAAATGTTGCTTTTGTTACATTTATGTTTGCTTATGTAGATTCATTTTAATCAAAGTATTTATATACAGTATTCAACTCTTTATTTCTTAGCATTTTTAACTCTTTCCAATCTTAACCACATAAACTTATCCTTATCTTTTCAAACTCTATCTCTCTGTTACTCTTCTCTCTAACACAACCACGGCCCTAACTGCATAAACTGTCTTTAACTGTCTTTCTTTCTCTCCTTTTATTTCCCTGGTTCCCCCCCCCTCCTGTCATGTCATTGGTTCCCACATTATCTTTCTCTCCTTTTATTTCCCTGGTTCTGCTCCTCCTGTGATGTCATTGGTTCCCACATTAAAGCTGACTGACAGGAGTATTCTGAGAGCTGTCCGTCACAGATGCATTCTAGTTTATAGATTTTCAGCTTTATCTGCATAAGCTTATATAGTAGCTTTCAGACATTTAGCATTGCCCCGAGGTTTGTATTAATCAACATTTTGAAGTTAATTACTGTACAAGTATTAACAGATGATTTTTCCTGGCTGTGCCCCTTTTTCCTTTAGACTGGCCCTCACATGCATGTGAACTATGTGCAGTATATATTTAGTTCTTAAAATCTCCTATGGTTTATCAGTGTGGGATATTATGGTTCTGTACCCACAATTTAAAAAGCCAGGAAATGGCCCAATATTGCTGCACAATATTGGGCCCACGTGGCCAGCAGGAAAAAGGATGCCAAGCTTTACATAGCAAAGGGCAGCTTGAATGATGACAACACAAACGGCAGCAGTCAAGATAGTCTACAGGATACTCTCTTCTGGTCACACCCATTCACAAAGTGATACCACTGAAGGCAAAATCCCAGAAGCTGACTCCTTTTGAAATCAGTTAACCATTTCTCACCCATACACAAAGTAATTATCAGGGCTGTTTTTCAACAGGTGTGAATGGTAATGAGTAGAAGAGGGTATTTACCCAAATATCCCCAAACGTGGCACACAGCAAGAGCAGTCTTCTACATCTGTGATGAATTTGGTGCTGATCCAAGGTCCAATTTCAAAGTTATAATTTTGTTTGGGGTCCCCCCCCCCAGTTTTTGAGTTGGCTTATGGAATGCCAAATTCTGCTATTGCACAATATCTATCTATTGGTGCAAACTTGTGCTGCAGTAATGTCACGTGGCGCATTGACTGTCCTCTGTGTATCTGAAGATATGGGCTGAAATCCATGAGAACTCATACTAAAATAAATCTGTTGTTCTTCCCCCTATAGCAATGACAGGAGTATCTTGAGCTCCAACAACAACATTATCCTGTTGTTCTTCAAGGTGCCACATCTCATTGTGGGATTTTTGTTGTGGTTTTTTCTTTTGGTCATTTTTGTCATATTTGCTGAAACAGACTATCTTGACTGCTGATGTATTCACAATGACTGCCCTTGAAAATCTCATGAGTCTTCCAAGATCTGAAGGGTTGCCACAGGGAAGACAGCATTAATTTATTCTCCATTGTGCCTGAGGGTAGGACAAGAATCAGTGGGTGAAAACCTGTCAGAGAGGGAACCAACCTGGAAATAAGGAGGAATTGCCTGACGGTGTGAACCATTAAGCAGTGGAACAGCTTGCCTCCCAATGTGGTGGGTGCCCCATCACTGGAGGTTTTCAAGAAAAGATTGGACAGCCATCTGTCCGGGATGGTATGAGGTCTCCTGCCTTGGGCAAGGGACTAGAAGACCTCCAAGGTCCCTTCCAACCCTACGACGATTCTATAAGGCAGCTTCTGTGTTCTTTCTTTCCCTACTATGGGCTTCCTTTTCTCTATTGCTACAGATTGATCACTTTGGTTTTGCTGAAGATCGCACATTCAAGCAGCGTTACCTCATAGCAGACCAGCACTGGAAGAGTGATATTGGGTCCATCCTCTTCTATACGGGCAACGAAGGAGACATCACTTGGTTTGCGAATAATACAGTAAGTAGGGTCCTTGCCTATAGGCATGGATTGGTTTCTCTTTTGAAGACACTACAGTCTTTGTTCTTTGGGTTACAGAAACCATATGAGAGGTAAATCACTGTAACCTGGCTTAAAAGACTGCCTTTTTTTTTGTTGCTCCCTTCCAGGGTTTTATGTGGAATGTCGCTGAAGAACTTGATGCTATCTTGGTATTTGCTGAACACAGGTACTATGGGGAGTCTCTTCCCTTTGGAAACAAATCGTTTGCTGTAAGTATCTTCTGTCTTTCAAATAAGGCATTAGTTTTGTAGAGATGTAGAATTTTAAGATTTAGAGGGCAATTGGAAACATGAGGCATTTGGGTAGTGACAAAGAACACATTGGTGTATGCTCAATCAACAGTGTGCTTCGGAGTGATAGCCAGATGGCAAGAAAATGAGATTTTACCAGCTTATGTAGCCCCACCAACTTTTGGCAGATCTCTTCCACAAGATACAGTTGTGTGTGATCACGGAGATGGAGCTTGTTGGTAGAAGCTGGTGCATGGAACTTGGATATGGTCCTGCTCTTTTTTTATTAGAAAAAGTACAATTGACTTGATGAGCTGCTGTGAACAGCCATGTACACTTCTGATATAATAGTTTGCTGCATTCCCAAAGCATTGGTCATATCTGGCAGAACTTGGACTGTCACTTTTGAAAGGCTTTTTCTTTTCTTTTCTTTTTTCTTTTCTCTTCTCTTCTCTTCTCTTTAAGCTGAGACTTGTTCTTCCTTTCTTTCTTTCTTTCTTTCTTTCTTTCTTTCTTTCTTTCTTTCTTTCTTTCTTTCTTTCTTTCTTTCTTTCTTTCAAGCTGTGACTTGTTCTTCTGAGCCAAATGGCAATTACTGTTATCATTATCCTGTTGGAAAAGCAATTTGCCCTGTTACAGATTAACATTACATAATCAGAAACATTACAAGGGGAAAATATTAGAGAGTCCTCTCTAGTTCCCTCTAATGGTCACCTCTGATGTTTTACCCTGAAGGTGTTTGGAAAAATACAAAATAGTATGTCCCTTGGCAACCTGGATTGATAAGAGAGTGGCATATATACTGAAACACCCTGTTTAAAATGCCCTTTAAAAGTAACTTTTGACAGGAACTAGAATATATCACTCATGAACACAAATAAAGTGATTGTGCTTGTTATGTATCTTTTGGAATGTTTATCCCAAAAGATAACATAACTACAGGTAACCAGTTGCAGGTGACTACAGTGGTACCTCGACTTACAAACTTAATCCGTATTGGAACGGCGTTCGTACGTTGAAAAGTTTTTAAGTTGAGGCAAAGTTTCCCATAGGAATGCATTGAAAACCTTTTATTCCTTCTATCCTGTTTTTCGTTCGTATGTCGAGGCACTGCTCGCAAGTAGAGGCTCGCTGTTCGCAAATAGAGGCATTAATTCTCATAGGAACTAATGCAAAGCCTGTTAATCCATACTCAACCACTTTTTCTTCCTTTGACCTAACATGAACTTAGGTCAAAAAAAGGCAGGAAAGGTTTTTTTTTTTTTCCATTCGTAAGTCAAGGCTTCATTTGCAAATCGAAGTAACATTTTGCGAACAGAGCCGTTCGTAACTCGAAATGTTCGCAAGTGGAGACGTTCGTAAGTCGAGGTACCACTATACATGTAAATCATTGGTTTCATTATTCGGGTCTCCAGTGTTATTTCTCTTCAGCCATATAAAAATGAAGCTGTATTCTTGTTTCCATGCGGTGGGGCGGGAGAAGGTGAGAGCAAACAGCCTGCAATTTTGTTTCAGGATGCCAAGCATCTGAATTACTTGACTTCGGAGCAGGCTCTTGCTGATTTTGCAGTACTCGTTGACCACCTGAAGAAGACAATCCCTGGAGCTCAAGATACTCCTGTCATTGCTATAGGGGGATCTTATGGAGGAATGCTTGCTGCCTGGTTTCGAATGAAATATCCCCATATTGTAGTCGGGTGAGTGCACATAGTGATTTAATCACTCACATCTGTGGGATGCCACAGTTTTCTTAGAGAACCCTTTGTCTTTAGTAGTTAAATTGCTGTTAAAAAAACACATCCTGCAGTGATTGTCTTTACATGCAGATATGTTCATTTCATAGCAGGTAGACGAGTGTGCATATGTGTGCTGACTTACGCATGCATAATCCTTATTCCTAATAAGAGTAGCTCATTCCTGTATTTGGTGACCTAGAAAGTGCCTGCAAAGCGCAATGTCTTCGGTCTCTATCTGAGAGGGGCTGTCTTCAAGAATACTGTATAGGAACCTTCAAAAGAACAGAAAAGCTGTATTAATAGAAGTATAAACTCCAAATCCCACAAAGTCCTAATCCCCCTGTGTTTGGCACTGATTAGGCGTCATTTTGAGTACTATGTCTTGTTCTGGACACCACATTTTAAGAAGGATGGCTACACATAGGGACAAGTTCGGTGGAGGTCAAGAAGGATGATTGGGGACAGGAAACCAAGCCCTATGAGAAAAGACTTAAAGAACTGGGCATGTTTGAATTTGAGAAATGAAAAGAGAGAGATATGTTAGCACTCTTAAAATATATGAAAAGAGGCAGGATATGTTCTTGATCATTTCAGAGTGCAGGGCATATAATAATGGGCCAAAGGTACAGGAGTCCACATCTTGTTCTCTGTATCAGAAATTGTACAACCATACTAGTTTCTGGAATTTTTCCTCCACTGAAGATGCTAAAGACATTTTCTGGTGCTACTGTGCCTGCTGTTTTTAGCTTGATCTTACCCACAAAAAATGTGTACCACGGCCTATTGTTCTTGAACCTTGCCTTAACCAGGTTTTGCATCCTCTCACTTGACTTGGTCTTTGATTATAAGGGTAACCTGTTAACAATATGTACCAATTATTGAGATTAGGGTGTTCTCCTTTTTTTAAGGTTTAATTATTGCTGTTCTGTTTGTTATATGAATTGTTGCCTACTCTAGCCTTCTGGGAGGCTAACGAGACAATAATACCTGTACATAACACTGAGACATAGTTCTTATAAAAATAGTAAATCATTGTTTGGAGCTGTACTGTTTCAAAGTGCAGATGCTCAGATGGTGGAATATATTCTCCAGTCTATATCCCCTTGAGTATTCTACTGAATGGACTGTCTCTCCAGTATCTTGGGGTTGTGCTATTCCTGAAAGTGTTACTGTACATGTACACTGTACATAGAGATCGCTTGCACAACAGCAACATGTGCACAAATGGCATGATCCTGTATTACTACCCTGGCAGGACTTTCCACTCAGCCGAAGCTCAGGACAGGAGAGAGAAAGAAGATGATTAATATTATAGAAAAGGCTGGAAACCTTCTCTGACATTTTTCTCCTGTTACACTGAGAACTGAATAGAGGAGCATTCCCTCACTCAAGTCCTCACCAGCAGCCCAGACAGTTGGTGTTTCCCCACCCCCTTCCACACCACACTGAGACATCGCAGGGATAAATGTGGAAAGATTGAAAACTTAGCATTTTCAATTGGATTTTCTTAGTAACTGACCCAATCCCTTCTGTCCATTTGCAGAGCTCTTGCGGCTTCAGCCCCCATCTGGCAGTTTGACAACCTGGTTCCTTGTGGCTCCTTTTATAGCATAGTGACACAAGATTTCGAAAAGAGTGGCAACTGCTGTTCAGAAAGCATCAGGAACTCCTGGGCAGCCATTGACCGTCTTGCTTCCACAGGTAAACTGCGAGTGAAGATCCTCTAGAACGGAGGGGTGCCCTTTGTCTCTTTCTCTGCTGTCATCTCAGTCTCGCCCCCTTCTCCCCCAGCTAGAACCCTCAGACAGTTTATTAAAAGAACCCAGATTTCGGTCAAACATCAGGAAAAACTTACTGTTAGAGCAGAGTGACAGTGGAACTAGTTACCGCAGGAGATGGTGAGAGCTCCAACACTGGAGGCATTCAAGAGAAAGTTGGACCACCATCTGTCAGATCTGTTTTGATTTGGATTCCTACATTGAGCAGGGGGTGGGACTCCATGGCCTTATAGCAGAACTCCATTTTTCTATGATTCTGTAAATCTGTAGGAGGGTTCAATGCATTATCTCAGCCCTTAGAAATCAAGAAACAATTTTCTTTGGAGGACAGAGTCAATCAATTTTTGGGATGCTTATCATCTTTAACTGGGGATGTAGTGGCACTGCGGGTTAAACTGCAAAAGCCTCTGTGCTGCAAGGTCAGAAGACCTGCAGTCGTAAGATCAAATCCACGCAACGGAGTGAGCCCCCGTCGCTTGTCCCAGCTCCCGCCAACCTAGCGGTTGGAAAGCATGCAAAATGCAAAAATGCGAGTGGATAAATAGGTACCACCACAGTGGGAAGGAACGGAGATGAGCACCGCCCCCTAGAGTTGGACACAACTGGACAAATTGTCAAGGGGAACCTTTACCTTTACCTAACATCTTTAACTATTGCATTGTAGATGATTATCCCCACAGTAGATTATTATGACTTTATAATACTGTCTTACTGTTCCAGCAGGAACATCTTTTTTTTAATCACATGGATTTCTGCATAGGAGACTATGTTTTTTACATGTATGAAAAAAAGTTTTAAAAATGTAAATGTTGAATATGTGGGATTGGTTTTATTTTCCACTTGAAACTGTGAGAAAATGACTGCTTTATAAGGCATCTGGAGTTGTTTCTAGGCATTGTACTGAGACTAAAAATTGCTGGTTTTCAGTCCAGTGTGGTTTTCAAGACTGGGGAAAGTTCTGGAGATCCTGTGGCAGTCAAAGGAGGCAACCGTGAGCTAGATAGACCTGTAGTTTTATTCAGGAGAAGGCAGATCATTTGTGATGCACGTTGTGCCTTTGATGTCCATAAGCTACAAAAATCCAGTCATTTAAATTATTATCATCATCTTGGAACTGCAGAGCTGGAAGGGACCCTACGGATTATTACGTCCAGCCCGTGAAGGAAGCACGATGGAGGATTCGAACTCTCAGTCTTTGCTCTGCCGCTGGCAGCCTAAACCGCTGAGCTATCCAGCAGTTCTTAAGTAACATTTTATTTGTGAGTTCAAACTTTAATTGTTGTGTTGTTTCTCCTTTTAGCGGAAGGTTTACACTGGCTTTCCTGTACCTTTCGGTTGTGCAGCCCACTGAAATCTGTGAGAGATGCTGCTGCCTTCAAAGCATGGCTAAGCGAGATATGGGTTAACTTGGCCATGGTTGACTACCCGTATAAGGCGAACTTTTTGCAACCTCTCCCTGCATGGCCTATTCAGGTAACTAAAGAAATGTTTCTTTGTTTTGTTTTCTCTCCTCCCCATCTTCATGCTATGCTCCTTTTACTACATCTGAGGTGGGTGGGCATCTGTGGCCTTCAGGAAGTTTCTGGAGTACAATTCCCATCATCCTCTGCAACTGGCTATATGTGTTGTAAGCCAACGGATTCAGGTAGTTGCCTCCTACAAGACAAAAAAATACATGAATGAATAGGAAAGGCACAAAATGGTCAAGAGTTCTGTAATGGAAAAACTTGAAGGATCTTCTGGCTGATTTATGAACCTTCCAAACATTCATTGAGGAGGCACTGTTGTTCATTCTATGTTTGGTTATTTCTTGATAATGTATTTATTCTACCTTTGGGCCCACAATGGAGTCCCCAAGGCAGTAAATGATAGTACGGTAACTGAAGATGTTGTTGTTATGACCCTTCAAGTTTCAAACAACTTATCGCAACCCAGCAGGACTTGCGTTTTACCAGTCCCACATGGAAATTGCTTCCACAGCCTCTTTGGTTGTGATCCTGTCAACCACATGTCGTTATTAGACAGTTTCATTTTGGTCCATTTGGTCTGTTTTGGCCAATGTGTGCCTCTCCCCTTTTCACTCCCTGCCTTCTGCCTTCTCTTTTGCCATAGCTATCAGCCAGTTTATGTTTACTTTCAGGTGAGCATTAATGCTGAGTATTTGTGCAGACAAGTGGTGTGGGGTTACAGAGTGCTGTGTTTCAGCCCACGTTTCTCCTTTTTGAAAAATTTTGATAAGTGGCATAGCGCTTAAGTGATTCAATGCACTGGAGTGACCTAGGCAATCACACAGCAAATAAACACAGAAAACAGTGTGAATTTGGACCAATCCTTAAAATCACATGGCTTTGCTTCCATGGTTTGTTAATAATAACACTAGTTTTATGTTGATCATTGGAATTCCCACTCTCAGTCATTTTTCCTGGGTTTTCTGGCTGTAGAGGGATCCATCTCTCCTTCTGACGGCCCCTTGGAACTGTGCAGTATGTCCAATACAGCCCTTGTATTTTTCGCAGATGAGAAAAATACAGTAGGTTGGAAGGCTTGCTTTGAGAGTCTGTGAAAAAATATCCCGGATTATCCGCGGCTAAAACCTTCTTTCTGTTGTTTGGGATCTTTTTTTAAAAAAAAAATCTGTGTGGCCTCTCTGGGTGGTGTAAGCTTGTTCCCGTTGCCCTCCCCTTGCCCCCTGGAAAGTGGGAAGAGACTTCAGTGACAAAACTAATGTGATTACCCTGAGTGAGAGTGAGAGGTGTACTGAAGGCTTAGAGGAAGAACCCATTCAAGCAGCTGAATGTATCTGCTTAATCCTCTTCTGAAATGAGGGCGGATGGTCACCCCTGAGAAGCGGAGGCTTTTGCCTTTGGTCCCCTCGCCCTGCTGCTCCCCATAAAGGTCGCCGCGTCTTAAAACCTCTCTTTAACGTCCGTATGGTACATCTGTGCTAGCAAAGAAGCTTTCAGGCACACTGTGTCTTCCAGCTGAAAGGCGGCTCACTGAGTTGGAAAAAGCTGGAAATTCTCCTAACAAGTGCTTAACTTTTTCTCTCTAGCTGAGAAGGCAGAGCTCAAAGTGACTCAGCTCCTACTGAGAGGTGGTGGTGGTGGAAGCATAGTTAAGGAAGTGATTGGAGCTCTCCTTTACTCTTTTTCACCAGAGTGCTAGGTCATCTGTATCTCTTTGGTGTTGGTGCTGCAAGGCACTTCCCACATCTTGTTGTTTAGTCGTTAAGTTGTGTCCGACTCTTTGTGACGGACTAGAGC